CACGTTTATTTTCAAATTCCATTACAAGCATTTCCCTTATGATGTAATCAGAGATGATATAAGTAGCCGGATGGCATAATAGAAGAAGATACAGATTCAGAAAAACTTGTCTCTCCCTTTTCTTCTCTATCTCTAACCTACTCATCTTCCTTCTAATTTATATCTTGGATTTGTTCACATTACAGACAATCCAAGATTTATAATCTTTTTGACAAGCTTCAAACCTTAACGAGGGTCAGTTATCTATAATTTAAATTATTTTCAAATTTGTAGTCAAAATTTGCGGCCGTAATTCATATAAGCAAGTTATGTTTATATCGAATTAAAGTTTGATATGAAGAATACATTTAATATAAACACAATATGTATAAAGACTCATGTATAGACTTTTGGTATGAATATAATTTGCTTATTTTGCTAGTTAACATGATACAACACAAATAACTCAAATATAGATTCTCCTTGTTAGACTCATGGGTTGAACAAGTAATTTTATATTAGTTCACATGAACTGTATGATTTATCAAAATATTTTCATAAAAGAAAGAAAGAAAAAACTCATAGTAAGAAATCCATTAATCATTTCATTCTTTTATTAAATTGGTGAATGGCTAAGCACACAAAAATTGAGCTAAATATGAATTAGAGTTTAAAAAGAAAAATTACTTGTTCTCAATTATGATTAGCAAATGACAAAATTTTGAATAACCTTTAATAGATGTTTTAAAATTCTTTTTATATAATGTTAATTAACCCTAAAAATATAATTAAAATAGAAATACAAAATTATGAAAATACCACTAGAATAAAAAATGCTTAAAAAATATTAAAATTAACCGGAACACGAAAAAAAGGATGCACATATGCTTAACACACGCGGACGATTTTAAGCCATTTTATAAATATAGAATATTTAATTTATAAGGAAAAGAGTAGGTGACCTGATAAAAAAAAAAAATCTCTAACAATTTACAAAAAAAACCATTACATTAAATGTCAATTGAACCACAAGCTAGTTAATTAAGATATATAATCTTACCAAAAAAAAGATATATAATCTAATATGCGTTGAATTTTTTCTCAATACAATTTTTTTTATTAATTTAAATACTAAAATTTCCCATTATTTTTAGATGTTTTATAAGGCATAAAAATTTATTAATTATCACTTTTTGACATGTCTATTATATACTCATAGTTATCTATGAATTTAATTATTTTGTCAGTTCCCCTTGACTTCAACCTGAACTCCTAATAAAATATTAACAAATTTAAAAAGTAATTTTTTATACTTATTTGGCAATAATTATCTCTTAATTAGAAGTATTTTTATTAAATAGACAATATTTTATTGGAGAATCAAAAAGAAAAAAAAATTATTTTCACTGTTTATTTCTATCTACTTGATTTTTATAAAAGCTTTTACTAAGTAATTTTTTATTTCTAATCAGGACTTATTGGTTGGTTCTACACATGTATCATAAAACTCCTCATTAATGATATTTTCTTTTTAAAAAATATATGAAGATCTCTGGCAAAAAATTTAATTTATTACTTTTTTAATAAAAAATTATAAATAAGTAGTCATTTTGAAAAATATTACGAATCTATAGCACTCAAACACGTCCACATGGGGCGTGACTCAGTGGAGAGAGACACGCCCATGTGGGGCGTGAGTGATAAAAGAGACACGCCGAGATGGGGCGTGAGTTGAGAAAAAGAAAGACACGCCTAGAAGAGGCGTGACCCAAAAGGGACACACGCCCATCTAAGGCGTGATCAGATACTTACAAAAATGACAACTTCCAACTTGTACAAGAAATCACATTTTCGTAAGCCACAGTACCTTTCTGCATTGCTAAAGCTATTCAAGGAGTTGAAAAGGACAAAGATAAATTCGCTTTCGCGGTGGGTTTTCTAGAGTGCATTCATAATAAAATAAAGGCTTTGCATTCATAATAGAGAGAGCTGAATTGATGCTATTCAAGAAATCACCCTTATTGTTGCTAAGTGCATTCATAATAAAATAAAAAGCTTTGATAAGGGAGTTTTTAGAGGAACCGGGGGTGGGTTTTTTAGAGTGAAGGCTTTGCAAAGTGAGGGAGCTGAATTGATGGGACTAGCAGGGTCAAATCGATTTGGTGTTTATCGTACTGATTTTGGTTGGGGAAGGCCTGCAAAGGTGGAGATAATATCAACGGATACAGGAGGTTTAAGCTTTGGCTTGGCAAAGAGTAAGGATGGGAAAGATGGGGTTGAAGTTGGGTAATACCCAGAAATGAAAGAGCGAAAGAGAAAGTAAACGGGAAGCATCAAAATCAAGGACACGCCTTAGACGGGCGTGTGTCCCTTTTGGTCACGCCTCTTTTGGGCGTGTCTCCCATTTTTCCAGCTCACGCCTCTTATAGGTGTGTCTCTCCCATAGGTCACGCCCCACATGGGCATGTCTCTCTCCACTGGGTCACGCCCCATGTGGACGTGTTTGAGTGCTATAGATTCATAATATTTTTCAAAACGACTACTTATTCGTAATTTTTTTTATTAAAAAAGCAATAAATTAATTTTTTTGCCGAAGATCTCTTTTGAAGAAAAGCTTTCTAGATGTGACAAGTCTTAATTTTTTAATTGTCTGAAGTATCAAAATTTTGTTGCACAATGTATTCCAAAAAAAAAAATGCTTAATGACTGTTAAGGTATTTTTTAATGGCTTTATTTCTTTCTATATTGTAGTTTGCTTTCATCTTTAGAATTATTATTTATAATAAGGTATATTTAATTAATGAGTTTGATATTTGTCATTTTAAATTACATAAGTTATGTCATTTTAAAAAAAAGATAGACACAAGAAATAAAAATCATAGGAGACAAAGTAGGTACTTTTTTAAAATTTACAATTTAAATAAAAATATATTTTCTTGTGTCTATCTCTCTCTTAAAATGACATAACTTTATGTCATTTAAAATGACAAACATTTTCCCCTTAATTAAAACTAGTAAATTTCACATGTAATTATGGTTTATGGTTTGAATCACGTTCCCACGAAACAAACTTATTACATAGAAGGTGAAGTTAACATTATACAATATATAAAAACGATCACTTAAATTATAATTGTTACTAAACACTCTTGAGCCTTGACACAAATGATAAGAAGTTTGAACTCCTTAATTGCAAGTCTCAAGTTTGAGCTCTGGAAATGAAATTTTTTTCAAGAGAGTTGCTTCTTTTAATAGAGTCCGAAAGTGCTTAAACAGATGTAATCCAAAGGATGAATCGATTGAAAAATTAAAAATAAAAAACAAATAAAATTATAATTGTTTAAAGCTGCAATATGCTTAGACTGTCTAGAGTTTTTTTTTTAAAAAAAAAAAAACTGAATATGACATATAAAGTTAGAACTGAAACTGAGTTTAATATTATTATTTTTATAGATTTTATAAGAGTTATGTTGTAGGAAAAGTGATTGTGTAATATTATAGAGATTCGTTTTGCGTGCCATAATTTTTTTTTTTCTTCAAAAAGTTTGGGCCCCACAAAATGTTGTGTGTAGAAAAATTTGTTGTGTCATGTTAAATGATAAATGCAAACCCTTATTTTTATATACAAAATGAGTTTTAATTTGAATTTTATAAGCACTTCTATAGCAAAAAGTCAAATTCTTGGTCCATATAAGGAGTTACTTACTTTTGTCAATTGGTACGTTACTTTCTCAAAAGTCAAAACTTTAACACAGATTCTAACAAGGTGTTCATCAACCGATCCAAACCGATTCAAACTGTGGTAATCGAATCAAAAAATCGATAACCGAATAAACTGAAAAATCGAAAACCGAAAAAAAACCGCAAATTTTAATTGGATTGGATCGGTTTTTGGATGGGTTGATAAAAACCGATCCAATCCAAACCGATCTAATATATTAATTCTCCTCTACCTATTTGAGTCTTTCCCTAATCCCTTCTACCTATTTGGGTCTTTCCCTAATTATAGCCTAAAAATTTCTAAACCCAAGACCCATTAACCCATCAACTAAATCCAAGAAAAAATCTAGTCATATCTTATCAACACAATTTTATCTTTATAACTTCATATCTCATTGCCAAAAAAAAAAAATTATATTATAGTTTACTAATGCTTTTGTATTTAAAAAATAAAAATAAAATTACAAAGTCAATATATGCAAAAGATGTTATTTGCACAACAATCATGAAATAAATATTAGGATTTTTAAAAAACCGAAAATCGATCCAATCTAAACCGAAAAAAATTGGATTGGATTGGATCGGATTTAAAAAAAAATTCAAACCGAATGGATGATTATATGATCAAACCGAAGGGATTGGATCAGATGAATTTTGCTTTCAAAACCGAACCAATCCAGACCGCGAACACCCCTAGATTCTAATAGAAAGAATCAGGAGAAAAATGTAAAAAAGGAAAAGTAGTACAAATTTTTAGAAACTTTAATTTATAATTAACGTAATTGGTAATACAGTAATCAGCGCTAACCTCTAAGATTTTCCATATATAAGAGCTCATGGAAATGGAAGGAGCATTTACTATTACTACCCCGGTCACTGGTCAACTTCCAAACATGCACGTAATAGTAACTGTCCAGCAAATAACAAATGTAAAACGACACGGCCCTTTTTCAAGCACATGTCGTTTCATGCGCTTGACCAGGGATTCCTAGTAGAATGCAAACGCCACGTCATTGTCTTCATATGAATTCAGTGAGAGAGTGAAATTTTCTTTTTTTATTCTAAATTTTCCAGCAAAGTTAAAGTTGTCAGAGAATCTTACCATAATCAAATTTTTTTTCTCAGCAGCATAAAAGGCAAACTCATAAATTTGATGATTGTTGTTTAGGTATATAAGATCCAATGCCCGAAAAAAATTTCATCAGGTATCTAGTTCACTGGTTTATACTTGAAAACCAATTGTTTTCTTCTCTTCAACAATATTTTGTGTGTAAAATTCTCACCTTTTCATTGCTTTCACAATGGCCACAAACCAAACAGTGTCAGAATCATCCCGAGCCAAGAGAACCAAAAGGGTTTCAACCAATCAGAATAATCCTCAAAATCCTCTAGTTAATCTTCCGGAGGATATCGTAGAAAATGTTTTCAGTTTCTTACCCATCAAAGATGCAATTGAGGCTGGCACTGTGTCAACCAGGTTCAAAAGATCCTGGCTCCTAAATCGAAAATTCTTGTTTGGCAGAGACTTTGCTCTGCGATTCCGTCGAGAAGAACTAATTGAATTGATTGATAGGCTCTTCAATTCTCATAAGGGTCCTCAGATCCATTCTTTTCAGTTACATATAGATCCATTTGGTATAGGAGTTTGGATAGATAAATGGCTTAGAATTTGCATTGCTAAAGGAATTGAAGACCTTGAGTTTTATTTTTTGCAACCTGGTTATAACCTTGATGCTGATTTTATTGACAGCCTCAAATCCTTGAGAACTTTAAAGCTTGTTTACTGTGAAATCCAGTTGTCACCTGTCTTAAAAAGTTTGAAATTTTTGAACACTTTGGTTCTCTGGCACCTCGAGCTAACAGAAGTGAAGCTTGAGACTTTGATATTCCATTGTAAGTTGCTTGAAATTCTAGATTTGTGTCAGTGTTCCAAAATTCGCCAAGTGAACATATTTGCTAGGAACCATAAAAATTTCAAAATGTTGAAAATTGCTAGCTGTCCTGATTTGGGAGGGATTGAAATTGATGCACCAACTCTTGGTTCTGTTTTCTATTGTGGGTTTATCCCAAGAATCCGATTTGGTCAGGGTGTCTCATTGAATGAGGCTTTCTTCAACTTTATGCCAACCAGAACCTATATGCCAGCTTCTGAGGTGGAAATTCTGGTCACTGATCTCCACAATGTCAGGGTTCTTACCGCCTCAGCTCTATTTCTAGAGGTTTATATATTTTTATATATAACATATGCTTTTAGTTAATTTTGTTCTTTATGTTTTTTTATTCAATTTGGATCAGTGGTTATAGCTTTATTTATTAACCTTTATGTTTTGATAAATTGATGATATATCTAAAATAAAAAATAAAAAAATTGAGATGCAGGCTTTAGCTGCTAGGGTTCGTGATGGGATTTTTGGAGAAGCAAAATTCCGCTTATGGAGTTTAAGGGAACTTCAGTTGTTTATGGAAGGGGGAATTTTTTGCAATCCCTATGATATTGTTATGTTTCTCAAGAATTGTCCATGTCTGGAGGCACTGTTCATCGATGTGAGTGTTACTGATTGATCCTTAATTAATATTATAACTTAGTTAATGTTGTTGTTAATATTTTTTTTTGATAACCTTGTTGTTGATAACTTTATTAAATAAAATATACCTATAATTTTTAAATACACAATTGATTTAATTTTATTATTTTTTTAAATAATTTTATTTGTCTATTTATTTATTTGCAATGGTAATAAAATAAACAAATAAAATATTATTGAAATAAAAAAAAATTGATTTTATATTTGACTTATAATTATTTCATGTATCATATTTGACTGAATTTAATCCAACTTGCTTTTATATTTGACTTATAATTATTTCATGTATTATTTAATTATTTAATATATTGATTTGTTTTACTATAGCATTTATTGCTACTTGATCTTATGTTTTAATTTTCATTTCTTTGATTTTTTAATTTAATATAATTTAAGTAATTAGAGTTACAAAACATAAAAAATGATTTTAATTTAAAATCATAACAGTGATGATTAATATTTAATAATAGAACTTATTTGAATTTTTACCTTCAGGTTAAAATATAGAAACCACAACACCAAAAAATATATATATATATATATATATAGAGAAACCAAATAAGGTAGAGAAATTAAGAATAAAATTATTTAAAACAAAACACTTATTATTTTAAAAAATAAATTAAAGTTAGATAGGAAAAGAATTACGATAAAGGCATATTATTTTTAATCCCTTTAAATAGTGTGTTATATTATCGTATTTGTTGTCATATATAGGGCTGACCTTAAACCATGTTGCAAGCGCAGATGAATGATTACCACTTTGAGTGCGGAATGTATTGGCAATTGCATCAGAAACATATGCTTGACAATTTCAATCACTACTTTAATCGGCTCAGAATTGTTAAGCTGAAGGGTTTCAAGTTTTTGGAGTCTGAACTTATTTTGGTAAAGATCCTTCTTCAGAAAGCACTGTTTTTGGACGCCCTGATTTTCATCACACCAAAGAATGGCCGTACTAAGTTACACTTAGCTGATGCACCAAAATACAACCGTCTTTTTCATTCTTGGAAAGCATCGCCAACGGCCAAAATAGTTTTATTTGAGCATTTTGATGACAGGAGTTGCATAAATCCTTCCCATCCAAAATGTTGGTACTGATCAAGGGGAGTTTGAATGTTAACTAAGTATGTGTTTGTTGGAATATATAAAATTTAAGAAATATATTTAGATTTAATAAATATTTGGTAAAAAAAAAAAAAACTTGATGAGAGATTAGTAATATGGTTAGAAAAATATATAGCTTATGGGTAAAGGAGTCATCATATGTACATTACAATCAACAAAAGAAATCATGTTGTGTTTTGCCTATAGAAGGTGTCTACATGTCTTGTACTTTATGTTTGTATCCTGGAATCAAATGTACTTGATCTTGTACGGCCTTTTCTGGTGTTGTGATTAAGGATGTTGTATACTTGTATTGGTAATATGCTAATTCTGCACAATTTTGGTGTATTTGTAACTGTGATCGCTAAAAACAACAAATCTCTTCAATCATATTATACTTTCAAGGGTAAACTTAATTGACTGAGAAATCTCCGGTTGATTGATTATTCGATTAGTCTAGTTTAAGGACCATCAGACCCTTTATAAAAGATGACTCTCCCAAAACTATTATTTTCTTTCCAATAAATTCCTTCCCACTTAAACCAATAATTGTTGGTGCTATTATTTTATTAGGGCACTATTAGATATTCAATGTCAAATTTATTGCTACATTTAAGGCATATATGTCTAAGTATAACGATAAAATTCATTCCAATATATATAGAATTGGTAAATTTTAGATTACATTTATACACATTTAAAAGTGGCATATATTTGATGTGGTTAATTAAAACCTATCGTTTCGGTGATTATGTAATATGAAAAAATCTACAAAATCAATTTGTTGATTCTTCGAAGTTAAGAAGCGTGAGTTGTTTATAATATGCTCCCCCCTTGCTTTTTGGCTGAATTTGTTGATTGCTTTCTCTTCTTCCCAAACCTTTAGAAAAAATGTACAATATATATATTTAAAGGAAATAACATCTGTCATTTTAAAGAATATAAGCTTATATCATTTTTAGATCCTAACCGTTGATTCCTGTCTATCAACGGTTATAATTTATTGGATCAAAATTATTAATTAATTAATAATAAATTTGACCCATTAAATTTGACCCAATAGATTATAACCGTTGATGGACGGAAATCAACAGTTATGATCTAAAATGATATAAAGTTATATTCTTTAAAATGATATATGTTTTTCCCATATTTAAAATAAAAGAAAAGATATAATTCAGAAATCATCCACACAAATCTCGCGGACTCTCAAGTTCTTTTATTTTGTATGATGCCATCTAGGTATCAAATTGTTTACATAATGATGTCAAATTAAATACTAGCATTAACCAACGTTTATAAGTTGTCTTGTATCACAAATAAAAAATTAAAAAAAAATTGCATCAAAAGATTGAAGGACTCGTCCACATTCATTTTATTTGTTCAAAACTGAACCTTCGAAGTTCGAAGTACGTATACTATTTATTGCAAAACAGTGACTACCTACAGCCAGAGAGAGAGAGAGAGTTGAGATAAATAAGAACGGGGGACGAAAACCCCTTACGCGAGTCTTGTGATCTACTAAGCCAAAACATGGTCCTAATTTTGTAGTACCAACTGAAAAATTATCTTATTCCTAACTCAATATATAGGACGTTACTCGAAGGGCTTGTCTTCATTTGCTATAACTTGGCCATAATCATATATACCATGATCAGTGTATGCCGTCATCTCATTCTTTTTTTTTTGATCTACCATTTTATTTACTTTTGCCTTCAATCGTGTGTTTCCATGCTCAAGCATTTCTTGACCCTAAAGAAAAGTTAATTAAAAAAAATAATTTCTAAGACAATTTTGACCAAAAAGGGCTTTAGCCAACCAAAAAAAACAATAATTTTATTAGAATAATTAGCGCAAGACTTTCCGACTTGTGGGGATAGAGATGTTATACACAATTTTACCTTTACATTTTTTTTGTAAAGAGACGGTTTCTAATATCGAATTGGAATAAGTAGTTGAAATGATAATGAATATTTTGTACTTAAAAATTACTAAAATTTCCACATAATCTTATTCATTTTCTAATCTTTGGTGAATTTGGATCTTTGGGAATGTTGAAGTTCTTGAAAATTATGTAACGAATGAAGCTAGTTCACATGCTAATTCCATTTCATTCTTGTGCTCCTGTAGCGGACCCAGATAATGGGAGGCCCAAACGAATGACAAAGCCACCAGCCCATCTCAAAGTTATGTTTAGTGCTTTATTAGCTAAGGGTCCTTTATTCTCTTATTTAATAATTACATGCAATTAGTAGTTTATTAGTTGTCGATAGGATTAATCATCCTTATCTTCAATTTGTTATTTTGTCATCATCCTTATCTACAATCAGTCATTAGCTGGCAATCCTTAAGCCATTAGGTTGATATTTGTTTTGCTATAAAAACCTGGAAAAGATCAATACAACGGATGGAATGTTTTGATCGCAATTCTTCTCTCTTAAAAATTCTCTTCTCTCCCACCTCATGTTCTTCTCTCTTTCTTTTAAGCGATAACCCTTCATTGGTGCTTTCATCTGATCTCCCTCCCAAATGGCGGAGAACACACGCATGCGGGAAATGAATCAGCGCGTGGAAACGCTGGAACAACAACTCCAGGCAGCAGAAACCGTACGTGAACAACAACAGTTGGCATTACAGGACTCGCAAGCACAACTGCTACAATCGCAAACCCAGCAGAATCAACAATTTGCTATACTCAGACAGGACATCAATCGGATCCTCGAAAATCAGTCAAACAGATCTGGAATTCTCGGATCAGGCCCCTACAAACATCAACCCAACTCAGGCATTAATCACACACAACCAACGAAAATTACTTTTCCGAGGTTTGCAGACGGAGATCCAACTGATTGGATTTTTCATGCCAATCGATATTTTGAATTCTATCAAATACCCGAGGCGGAGCGTGTGCTAATTGCATCTTTCCACCTCGACAAACCAGCAAATTCTTGGTTCCAAGGACTTTTTAATGATGGGTTAATTCCCAATTGGACCGCATTCATGGTGGCGGCACAAAGGCGGTTTGGACCATCGGAGTTTGAAGATCCGGCAGTATGTCTTGCCAACCTTCAACAACAAACCACAGTTAGCGAGTTCCAGGCTAATTTTGAAGTCATAGCCAGCAGAGTCCCGAGCCTTTCTCCTACACTAAAAAGAGCACTCTTTGTGGCCGGTCTAAACCGCACATTTGGCGACAAGTCCTAATTCAACGACCTCAAGATGTCCATGCTGCCTTCTCACTAGCGAAAATATATGAAGACCAGCACACAGACTCAAATACAGGGTACAAAGCTCAACGACAGTGGACACCACGTCCACCATTCACACAAAATCCATCAGTCAGTCAATCAAACTCCACCAAATATGCATCCACAACATCCCCACTTCCTATTAAGCGGCTCTCACCAGAAGAAATACAACGTAAACGAGAAAAGGGGCTTTGCTACAGTTGTGATGAAAAATACGTGTTTGGCCATAGATGCAAAGGGAAAGCCACCTTGCTGTATTTTGACGGCACAAAAGATGATCCACCTCCGTCCGAAAGTGAGGAACAAACAGAATCGCCAATTCCAGATAATGTTTCTAATTCATTTTCTGAGATCAGTTTGAACGCCTTATTTGGCCACTATTCACCACGAGCCTTTCGTTTAACGGGAACGATATTTGGGAAACACGTTCAGGTTTTAATCGACGGCGGAAGCACTCATAATTTCATCACGCATAAAATGGCTACCTATTTGGGATTGGTTTTGCAGACCTTAGAGACGTTTACTGTACAGGTAGGCAATGGTGAGGGACTTCAATGTCAGGCATATTGCAAGGAAGTACCCCTCGTGATGCAGTCTCACACATTTTCAGTGGATTTATACG